ACAGGCGCGATGGAGACAGCAACGACGTCAAGGTAAGGAGTTTTTATTTTTTTTGAGTTTCCTTTTTTTGTAGTCCTGCTGGGACAGCGCCATCGGGGCGAAGCGACACAACCGTGGGCATAAGCTAACAACAAGAAGAAACGAAAAAAAAAAAAAAAAGGTAGAAATGAAAAAATAACGCGCCATCTGGCGCGTCCTGAACTGACTGGGGACTTAAAGGCCCCTGTGAAAAGACAGGCGCCCGTTTAAATCGGGCAGCCATAAATTAGGAAGGTTTTTCGTTCTTTTTTTTTTTATTATGTTATTTTTTTTTTTCCTTAGATTTTGTTTAGATTCTTTTCCCGTTTTTTTTTCTTTTTTTTCTTCCTCTTAGAGCTATGTGCCCGTTCATTTCGAACGAACGGGCGATTCAGCAGTCTGGCTGCGCCAGACTGTTTCGTCGAACTCTCACCGACTCATCAGAAGGCTGAGCCTCGACAGTCGTGTCAGCCGAATGTATCAGCCGCTGAAATGCGGCTGTATGCAGGTGTGTCGGGGGGGGGTCCTAAGAGAGAGAGAGAGAGAGAGAGAGAGAGAGAGAGAGAGAGAGAGACCGGCTTACCTACGCCCGTTGAGTTTGAAACGGGCTGCAGTGTTTGCCTGCGCGCCCAAACCTGGCGCCGGGAACGTCCGGGTACGGGCGCAGGGCAACGAGAGGAAAKAAGACCCTGTTGAGCTTGACTCTARTCCGACTCTGTGAAATGACTTAGGGAGGGGAGCCTGCTCGTTCGTTTCCAAACGATGAGCTGCCCCTGCGGTAGAGAAAAAAAAAAAACGAAAAGAAAAAAAAAAGGGGGAAGAAGTTAGAAAAAAAAAGGGGGAAGAAGTTAGAAAAAAAAAGGGGGGGAAACGGCCGCGGATCTAGCCGAGGCCTCGGTCCAGATGCAAGTTTAGAAGCATCTGGACTATGGATAGATAGCAGTCTGTTGGTTTCAATAGTCTGCAGGAAAAAGGCTTGGTACRGCCGTTTCGGGGCTGCGTCTG